CTGGAAGGACAGATCCTGAAGCTGAGGCTCCAGTACTTTGGCCATCTCATGAGAAGAGAAGACTCCTTGGAAAAAACCTTGATGTTGGGAAAGTGTGATGGCAAGAGGAGAAGGGGACGACCGAGAATGAGATGGCTGGACAGTGTCTGTGAAGCAACCAACATGAAATTGACAGAACTCCGGGAGGCAGTGGAAGATAGGAGGTCCTGGCGTGCTCTGGTCCATGGGGTCACGAAGAGTCGGACACGACTAAACGACTAAACGACAACGAAGTGAAAATCAGCACTTTGAATTGTAGTTTTGCATGAGCTACGTCACCGAAGCAACCAACCAACATGAATTTGGCCCAACTCCGGGAGGCAGTGGAAGACAGAAGGGCCTGGCGTGCTCCGGTCCATGGGGTCACGAAGAGCGGGACACGACTAAACGACTAAAAAGCAAAACAACAGGAGCGATGAATGCATAGGTCACACAATGCGGATGTTAGCATCTGCCTCTTCTGACTCATTTTTTCTGCTTCTCATTTTTTCACTTTTTGATGAGGTCATGCAAATACCAAGCACCGGCCGCTGGCTTTTGTGCCATAATATGCCTAGGAAAGTCAGCCAGCTTTCTTCAATCACTGTGGTTCCTAACTCTGGGTAACCCGGAGCTATAAATGCATAGGTCACACAATGCGGATGTTAGCATCTGCCTCTTCTGACTCATTTTTTCTGCTTCTCATTTTTTCACTTTTTGATGAGGTCATGCAAATACCAAGCACCGGCCGCTGGCTTTTGTGCCATAATATGCCTAGGAAAGTCAGCCAGCTTTCTTCAATCACTGTGGTTCCTAACTCTGGGTAACCCAGAGGTTTTTGGACTACAACTCCCAGAAACCCCGTTCAGCACAGTGAGCGGTGAAGGCTTCTGGGAGTTGCAGACCAAGAACACCTGGTTGACCCAAGGTTGGGAATCACCGATCTATCAGCAGTCAACATATTGGGTTTCCTTATCCCCAACATTTCTTAAGGTTTCCTCCTTCCTAGAAATGGATGGCCCCAAAAGGCCACTCACAGGACATAGCTAGGGATGGGCACGAATTGAAAAATGAATTGCAAAATTTGTCAAAAATCTCAAATTCGTTGATTCGTATTGTACGAATCCATGTCCTCAATGAATATGACTCAGTAGTTAGTGATTTTTGCTTTGTTGGCTTCTAAAATGGCCCTGCAGGCAACTAGAGGCACTAAAATTGCAAAGAAGCTTCCCACGACTCTCCTCTACAAGCTCTCCCACTTTGGTGAAGATGGGGTGGCCCCAAGCCAGCTGCTGAAAGGCCTTTTCCTGGGGAGACCCACTTGGACATCTGAAGCCCAGTTTTCACCAAACTTGGCAAGATTGTATAGGAGAATCAGGGGGAGCTTTTTGGTAATTTTGGTATCTCTATCTGCCGGGGGGGGAACTTTCCTGGTGGGGGCTTTTTGTGGGTGCATAACTCAGATGTCCGGAACTCAAATGTCATCAAGCATGGAGGGCTTGTAGATTCTCTAGGGCAGGGGTGTCGAACTGTGGCCCTCCAGATGTTCTTGGACTTCCACTCCCAGAAGCCTTCACCACCACCTCTGCTGGCCAGGATTTCTGGGAGTTGAAGGCCAAGAACATCTGGAGGGTCTTTACCTTTATATTAATTAATCAATTGTCTTATTTACAGGCTGCCTTTCCCATGATAAGGGGACTCAAGCCAGCTCAATGTGTTAAAAAAATCGAATTAAAAACACAGTAAGACGAGCATTAAAAAAAAAAAACTCAGCTAAACTATAAAACTGATTTAAATGCACCGAATAATTAACAACAGGTAAAATGTTAACAACCTTGTAAAAAAATGGCATTCAGGGACTCTCCTGATTGTTAAAAGCCTGCCTGAAAAGGTTGGTATTCAGCAGAAGGACAATATGTGGGGGCCCAGACTGACCTCCCGAGGGAGAGCCTTCCAGAAACCTGGGAGCTGCCACCGAGAAGGTTGCCGGCTTTCATGTCCCCATCAACTGTGTCTCCATCAAAGGAGTACCAAGAAGGCTCATTCGGGGAAATATGCCTTGATAGCACCTTGGGTCAAAGATCCGGTCATCCACTCTAGATCTGCTCGTTAGAACTTCTTCTAGGCAAAGATGTCCCCGGAAACATTTTGACATTCGTTCCCTGTGCTTGCTTTGTCTAGAAGGTCAGAGCAGCCAAGAAGAACTGGTTCCTTTTGCTCAAGGGATTGGGGGGGGGTGTCACCTCCTTCTGGATAGAGAAGCCACCTGCTTTGCATTGTCCTTTCCAAAGGTCTAAGCTGTGTCATCAAGAAAAATGTGTATGTGTTGTTATTTCTCCCTAGGGTATCGGGAAGGATTCCTTTGGAAGAGAGGCCGCGACAACGGGCAGTTCTTGAGCAGAAAATTTGTCCTCTCCGAGCGGGAACGTGCCCTGAAATATTTCAACAAAAACGATGTAAGGACACGGGGGTCAGGGTGGGCTGGTGGATGCCTTTTTCCTCCTTCTTGCAAAGCATGTGCTGCATAACGTAGCCGAGGGTCAGCGTGTCTGAGCTTGCTTATTCGCTGGGGAGTTGCTCTTACTTGCCTAGCATCCGTAGGGTGCAAGGCGTTGCACCAAACAGGAAAGCAAATCCCGGCCTTCAGGCATTTGTCGTCTCAAACGGGGTGCAGAATTAAGAGGAGAGGCAGGGGAAGGAAGCTGATGGAGGCAGTGGGAGACCGCGCATTGGGCTCTATCCTTACGGATGTCGCTGCATCGTATACGTGTGTGCGTGTGTGTTTGTGTTTTCCCACCAGGCGAAAGAACCCAAAGCCATTATGAAGATAGAGCACTTAAACGCCACTTTCCAGCCGGCGAAAATTGGGAACCCGCACGGATTGCAGATCACGTACTTGAAAGACAACAGCACAAGAAACATCTTCGTTTACCATGAAGATGGCAAGGTGGGAGGTCTAAAGTAAGAACGGAGGCTGCTGTTGAGAGTCACAGTGCGAATGGGGGAAGGAGGGGAGGACCATGCGTATGCGCTGGCCACCCTCTGCTCTTCCAGTCTCTTGGTAGAGGGGGAAATGGAGGCATCTCCAACCTCCATGTTTTTTTTACCAACTGGGGCGGAGAAACTATAGAATTCAGAGGAAGGATGTGAATTCTTGCTTGTCCCGTCAACTCATGCAAGAATCTGAAGTGCAAACTGTTTTTTTTTCCCCCTTGCCTCTGAGATGGCGAGAAGTTTTCTCTTGATGAGTTTCTGCATAAGCAAGAATACTTTTTTTCCAGAAACGGCAGAAAAAGCATAGTGGAATTACAGTTGGTGCTGCCAGGTTGGCTAGAGGTTTAAAAATCAGAAGTGCGCGATCGGTTGTTTGCCTCTTTCCGATCAATCAACGGGCGGTCCTGCGCTTCCCGTTCTGCACCCGAATGCGAAAGATCCCAGCTTTGCGCAGAGCAATTTGCCCAAATCATGAATACAGTGATGAAAAAAACATTGCTCTCTTTCTTGGGCTGGAGGTGAGAACCCTCCATAGGCTGGCTCTGCGTATCAAGACAGCCTGTGGCATCACGCATCCCCCTTTAATCTAGAGGTTCTTCACAAGGCTAATAAAGAGCAGGGCTCAACTGCGGTCCCCCTGGAGTTATCCAGCACCAAAAGCAAGATTGGGCAAGTTCTAATGGGCTGCGGGCAGGGAAAGGTGGAAGATTTCAAGGGCCTTTTGGAAAGCTTCCAGATGAGACACTCCTGCTAGTCCTACAAACAATAGGCCGTGGCTTCTTCTGTGAAGTTGGTTCATCTCGTGTTAGGTTTTCCTCTTTTCCTACTGCTTCCCACTTTTCTTTGTGTGGTCGTCTTTCCCCAGTTTGCCACTCGATAATTGTCCCTTCAGAGCCCCAGTTTTGGTCTGTAGGAGTCTCAAGCAGCTGCTGGAGATTCTGGGACCCCATCCAAGCTCATTCTGGGACCAGCAAGATGGGCAGTTCTGTGGACTCCTTGAAGATTAGCAAGACCTAAACTACCGTGTTTCCCCGAAAATAAGACAGGGTCTTCTATTAATTTTTCTCCAAAACCGCATTATTTTCAGGGGATGTTTTATTTTATAGCCATGTCTTCTTCTGGTTGCTGCACAAGGGTGGAAGGTGGGGTTTTCACTTGACGAGGGCTTATTTTTGGGGTAGGGCCTATATGACAAGCATCCTGAAAAATCCTACTAGGGCTTATTTTCGGGTTAGGTCTTATTTTTAGGGAAACAGGGTGTGTGGTTTCAGGCTGAGTACTCTGAGAGCAATCTTTACATGTCCAAGGCCTCCCAAAGAAGTTACCATTTTTGCTACTATTTAAAAGTTACTCTTTCTTTTTCTTGTTTCTCAAGCGAAAATACTTAACATTTTTTAAATTCCAAAAATCCATCTGAATAGTATAAGTGGGTGGCAAACCTACAACATTTTCATCCTCATCTTAGACCTGCAGAGCTGGAAGGGATCTTATAGATCATCAAGTCCATCCTCTGACAAGGAGGCCCAGTGGGGGAATCGAACTCTCTACCTCTGGCTCTGCAGCCAGGTGCCTTAAGCCACTCAGCTATCCAGCATTTCTTTTTTTCCTCTTCTCTTTTCAAAGGAACAAGGCACACAACTGTAATAGTTGACTAATACATTTTCCCAAGTAGAAGTGGGCCCTTCCCAAAACAAAATAACCACCATCATCCCTTTTAAACGTCAATATCCAGCAGTTTGAAGTACAAGCAAAAGAGTTCTTGAACAAATAATATATACACTAAATCTGATTGCAGACAAGGGAAGGAAGGAAAGGAAGAGTAGAGATTAAGAAATAATTCTAGGTCACTGTCACTTATGGAAATCTCATGCCTTCTGCCATCACTGAATTTGCCAGTCAAGCAGAAGCCTAGATCAACCAACAGTCACATGAAAGTGCCTCTGAGGAATCAGCCAGTATAAGTGGTTGGCAAACCTACAACATTTTCATCCTCATCTTAGACCTGCAGAGTTGGAAGGGATCTTATAGATCATCAAGTCCATCCTCTGACAAGGAGGCCCAGTGGGGGAATCGAACTCTCTACCTCTGGCTCTGCAGCCAGGTGCCTTAAACCACTGAGCTCTCCTGCCACTCTGCAGAATTTCAGTTCAGTTTTTTAAATCATTCTGTGACAATGAGGATGATCTCCTACCGTTAAAATTAAATACACCAGAAACGCTGCAAAGTATTTGGAAAAGAGAAAAGTCACAATCCAGTGTTTAAGACAGGATTAAAGCTGCCATCATCACCTTGCTTTAGGGGGAGAATGCATGTCCCTGAATCTAATGGGATTTACTTCTGAGTAAACATGTATAGAAGGCCTTCAGATCTCGCTTGCAGATATCCTTCTATCGCAGTTGTGGTCTCCCTCTGGGGCGCTTTCCCTGTACTAATTCTCCATAGAGGAGATCTTTTGGAATCCGACCATCAGCCATTCTCACGACGTGCCCAAGCCAACGTAGACGTCGCTGTTTCAGTAATGTGTTCATGCTGAAAATTCCAGCTCGTTCTAGGACTGCTCTGTTTGGAACTTTGTCCTGCCAGGTGATGCCATCATCACCTTGCTTTATGGGGAGAATGCATGTCCCTGAATCCAGTGGGATTTACTTCTGAGTAAACATGTATAGAATGGTGCTGAAATGCTAGCTCCGTATAGACCTGCAAATTGTAGCAACGATGAAGGGTTATCTTGACCAAATCCATTCAAATTCAAATGAGACCAAAGTTCTTACAGGCAAACCTGGTTCAGGAGCGGATGGAAACCCAGGACCCCCTGTTTTGGTGTCTAGGTTTTTACCAACCTGTTCTTTCTCCTTTCAGGAAATGGTGGACTGGTTCAATGCCATCCGCGCTGCCCGATTCCACTACTTGCAGGTGGCGTTCCCTGGAGCGAGTGATATTGATGTGAGCGCCTGTTCCCTTCTCAACCCCCCCATTCCTGCATTAATTGTCTTGTTATCAATACCCATGAGGGGTTTCCATACAGCTGGATCTGCAGTTGCTTTATAATGCAGTTCTGTTCAGGCCCCAAGACATTTCCTTGCCAAAGGCCAAAATCAGAATGGCTCCCTCTCCCATTCCATGTAGAAAAGACAAGCAAGATGTTCAGGGAAAGCATATATCTGAGGGGTACCCTGTTTTCCCTCTTACATGGGGATACATGCTTCAGCCCTCAGATGTGCAAAGTAACCCTGTGTTTGCCTTCCCAGACAAAGCACATTCAGTTCCAGATACATAGGTGAGAAAAATAATGTGCAGTGACAAACAGACATTCTTCTGCAGTTGAAGGAGCACCTCTTTTAAAAACGTGCTAAGGGTATGGTTCAGTTTGATCCTTGGAGGGCCGGCTGAATCTTCATCACTGGCAATGGGATAATGTTGTTTATCACCAGTATCTGGTGGGGGAGTGAGTAGGATAGTTAGTTTAGCATGCAGGCTCTGTCTTTCTTCAGCCACCTCCCAATATGTGCTGTCTACGGTGCTAGTCCTGGCCTAAAGGGAGCGTTATCCACCAAATCAAACACCCAACCAGCATTTTTGGACCCTTGAGCATGGCTGATTCCCCCGTGCTTCTCTTGTGAGGAACAGAATGTTAAGTTAATATCAGAGTAACAGACAAGAGATTTATTCACCCACACGCTGGTCCTATCAAGCGTTGAACTGAAGCCTCCGACGAAGGCATTCCGAACTGTTCCCAGAATTTGGAAAAGTACACTTTTAAGACCAAAATTTTCAGAACCCTTCAGCCAGCGGGCCTGCTTTTGGACAAAGAATCCAGAAAGCTAGGACATCAGGTGTACCCCAATATGTAACATTTCCAATGTACGTTTCTTCCCACGCTCCTGAAATCTAGCACTCATGCGCTGTGTTATTTCTCTTCCACTCCCTCTGTCCCCCTATTTTGACCTCTCCAGCTGGTACCGAAGCTTTCTAGGAACTACCTGAAGGAAGGTTACATGGAGAAAACGGGGCCGAAGGTAGGAGATGCTGTACGAAAAGCAAGCACGTTCTTTATGGCGCTGTGTATAAATTGTTGGGTGGGGAAACTCTCCCCCCCCCCAAATATATCATAAAAAAACTTTGGAAAGCTGAAGAATTCATTTTGTCAAAAATGTTTTAACCCTATCTCAGATTAACCCGCGTGCTTCTCGTCCTCTTTGTTATTTCTTGCTTGTCCACGGATTTTTGTTGCTCGTGGCCCCCCCCCACATGTCCTGCAATCTACTTTGGGTTCGCCTGTAAACTGGAAATAGACCGCTTGAACATTCCCATCATGTTAGCGTTTTATGGCATGCCGACATTGTTTTGGGGCAGGGTCTAAAACGGGAAATGCGCTGCAGACAGAGATAAATGGCTGAGCGAATCCTTGATGAGCGGAAAAAAAACTAAAATGTAGTACACCCAAAGGGTCTAAGCGGATAACTAGAAAAATCATCATCTTGTGTGTGTGGCATATATAAATTATGTGGTTTGCATGAAGAATTCATTTTGTCAAAAACGTTTTAACCCTGTCTCGGATTAACCTGGGTGCTTCTTGTCCTCTTTGTTATTTCTTGCTTGTCCACGAATTTTTGTTGCTCATGGCCCCCCACATGTCCTGCAATCTACTTTGGGTTCGCCTGTAAACTGGAAATAGACCGCTTGAACATTCCCATCATGTTAGCGTTTTATGGCATGCCGACATTGTTTTGGGGCAGGGTCTAAAACGGGAAATGCGCTGCAGACAGAGATAAATGGCTGAGCGAATCCTTGATGAGCGGAAAAAAAACTAAAATGTAGTACACCCAAAGGGTCTAAGCGGATAACTAGAAAAATCATCATCTTGTGTGTGTGGCATATATAAATTATGTGGTTTGCATCACCAGCAGGCAGGCGTGCTAGAAAAATCTTTAGAACGGATCGTTTTCTAACGCTGGTCCTTGACACAATCATGATGTGAAATAATAACGTATTTTTGTACCCACTAGACAGCTGAAAGCTTCTAATAGTTTGCCGTGGAAGGGGAGGGTGGAAGGAACAGCTGTTTGGGGGCTGAAGGACTGCAACAGGCTCGGACAAGGTCATAAAATGTCCCGTGTTGAAGTGAGCTTTTATAAGCTGGCAACTAAAGTACTCAAGCATTGCGAGCAAAGAAACAGGCATGCAAATGTCGACAACGTGGATTCTGTGTGCTAAATTCCACAACCGGCCTCACCATTAGGCAAGTGGTGCAATCTGGTATGATTTATCCCAGTCTTTTTAAAAAAGCCCACAAAAAATGGGAGGGAGAGTTCAGTGTTTTCGTTTTGCTTTGGCAAAAGTGGATCCCTTTTGAAGCGCACCACGAAGCAGCCCAGTTCGTCAGGTTTTCTGGCCCATGCTTCGTTTCGCGCCCATCTTGAATCACACAATCTCTGGGGTCTGAGACGTGGGAATTGTGTTCCATGAAAGTCCACGCTGGAATAAAGCGGTTAGTTTTAAAAACGTTTGACTCGGTATTTTTGTTTTGTGTTCCTTGTGCGACGGGAACAGACTAGCAGGGAAAACTCGTGGAAAAATTATCCTGTTATAGCCCTTGTATTTACAGCCAGTTTCATGCGTTTGCTGCCTGATTTCTTGGCTCTGAGACTGATAAATCTGCACGCACAGATCAGAAATAGCTGCATTTGTTCATGCTATATGTATGGAGGAGCAAATAAAAAACACATTTTTTTGCCCTAATTGTGTAGAAGCATCTGGTTGAATGTTGAAAGAAAGAAAAAAAAGTTGGTGTTCAGTGTCCTCTGTTTGGATGCAGGATGATGTTCTTCGTTAGGGTGCCCATGGACTCTGATCCTGGTTCGACTTGTGTCCTAATTACAGCATCAACGATCTAGCCACATAGACAGACACAGGAGTGTTGACGCTTCAGTCTATCAGTCTTAATTAAGAAGGCGCACTGAGAAATTAATTATTTTCTTGTCCCTGCGAGCTCAGAGCATTTTAATCAAGCCGTCCCGTCTGCGTGCTTAGCCAATTCATTAGGTGCCAATTAAACAAGTCTGGAATTTGAACCAGGTTTTTAAAATGCATACTTTTCCTTTGGAAGGGGGGGGAAAAGACTGTGGGATGGTGGGCGGGATTCGAAGGAGCTTAGCCGTATTGCAGACAATGTGGTAAAATCGTGCGCTCTTAATTTGGGCGTTGCATCTCAAAATGCTTCCCCCACCTCTTGGAAAAGAGTCACCCATGGCTTGCTTGAGGGAGCCCGTTGGGGCCCCAGGGGCCAGAAAGAATTCCAGACAGGTTCTTGAGGGGGCAGGGCATGATCTCAAACTGGGTGTGGCTAAAGACAAAAGGGTGGGGCCCAGAATACCGATGTATTTTAGGTTAAACTTTTTATTGCCACTAACTGAGGCAATGAAACTGCCAACATTTTTTGCTCGTTTTTATTAAGAAGGATTAAAGTAAAGGTAAAGGTTCCCCTTGACAATTTTTCTCCAGTCATGTCCAACTCTAGGGGGGCGGTTCTCATCCCCGTCTCCAACCCATAGAGTTAGCATTTGTCCAAAGACAATCTTCCGTGGTCACGTGGCCAGCGAGACTAGACATGGAACGCCGTTACCTTCCCACCGAGGTGGTACCTATTTATCTATTCGCATTTTTACATGCTTTCAAACGGCTAGGTTGGCCCCCCACCTCTTGGAAAAGAGTCACTCATGGCTTGCTTGAGGGAGCCCCTTGGGGCCCCGGGGGTCAGAAAGAATTCCAGACAGGTTCTCGAGGGGGCGGGGCATGATCTCAAACTGGGTGTTGCTAAAGACAAAAGGGTGGGGCCCAGAATACCGATGTATTTTAGGTTAAACTTTTTATTGCCACTAATTGAGGCAATAAAACTGCCAACATTTTTTGCTCGTTTTTACTAAGAAGGATTAAGGTAAAGGTAAAGGTTCCCCTTGACAATTTTTCTCCAGTCATGTCCAACTCTAGGGGGGCGGTTCTCATCTGCGTCACCAACCCATAGAGTTAGCATTTGTCCAAAGACAATCTTCTGTGGTCACGTGGCCAGCGAGACTAGACATGGAACGCCGTTACCTTCCCACCGAGGCGGTACCTATTTATCTATTCGCATTTTTACATGCTTTCAAACGGCTAGGTTGGCAGGAGCTGGGACAAGCGACGGGAGCTCCCTCTGTCACGTGGATTCGATCTTACGATGGCTGGTCTTCTGACCTTGCAGCACAGAGGCTTCTGTAGTTTAACCTGCAGCGCCCCCACGTCCCTGTAAGACTGGCTCAAATCCAGCTACGTCGCTGCTGCTGCATAAGCCTGATGACGTTGGCAGATGTTGCTGTGTTTGGAAATCAAAACATCAAAAATCATTCCTATAATTGACCTCATCAGCCTTAGGCAGCTGTCAATGAGGCGACAGGATTTCAGCCACTATCTCTCAGGCGAAAGGCTCTGTTCTTACCTCTTTAGGCTCGCAAGTCTGTGCAAGGGATGTATGGAGAAATTCACCCTCTGTATGTGTGTGTGTGTGTATGTGTGTGTGTGTGTGTGTGTGTGTGTGTGTGTGTGTGTGCATTCGCATGTGCGCACACACTCAGAAAAGGGCTCATGTGTCATACAAACGTTTCCCTCATTCTTCCATCGTTTTTTTTCCTGATACTTCAGCAAACCGAAGGCTTTAAGAAACGCTGGTTCACCATGGATGACCGGAGGCTGATGTACTTCAAAGATCCCCTAGTAAGATCTGTTTTCATTCTTGGTCTCGGAAAGGGCAGTGGTGGGATTTCTGTGTCAGTTAGACTGGACGGGCCTCTTGCGTGGAATGTATTTTTTAAAAGACCAATTTTTAAAATTGTTTATTTAATTTAATTACCTATTTTATTTGTTTTATTTGTTTGAAATAATAATTATAATCTCAGTGCCAAAGCCCAAACGGATCGTTTGTTATCACCCCAGTTACAAAACTAACTCTTCTCTTCATTGTTATTTAAACAAATAACTAAGTTGGTTACTTTTTGTTACTTAAAAAAAAGGAATACCATGTGATGGTGCCTGGCTTTAGACAACCTACTGAAGTAGTCAGGTTGCACCCTCTGTAACTATAAAAGTAACTAAAACTATTACAGTTACCTGGCAAAAGGGGTGAAGTTATCACTTGTGCTGCAAATGGAAATTATTTTACATTCGTTCTTAGGAAACAAATTAATTGCCAGTGACTCAAGTTGTAACCAAGCCAAGGAGCTGAATTTGATCAAATATTCTACTTTCTCAAAAGTTCTGCAGTAAATCATACAGGGATAACACAAGCATCAGTGCAGAATGATTAAGCTGACATTTCAGATGTAAATGATTGGGAGATTGAGGGAGCGGTATAAATACAAGCTGAGAGAACAGATTGGGTGGTGGAATAAATTACTGTTCAAATTTGTGGTGTTTCCTTTTTGGGCTGTTTTTAACTCCCAGGAATCTGTTTCTGTCAAGGATGTCAGGAATGATGGTTACCTGTCAGTTGAAACATTAATAGCGAAGGATGTTGCATGTTGCACGTTGACTTCCTGTACTTTGAATCCAGGCCCGTTTGCTTGATTCTAATCCAAGTCTCCTAGGAATTGAGCTGATTTCCAAAACCAGTTATGTATCATTCAGAGAAAGAAAATGGAATCTAGACCTGATTCTAGGAGAGAATCCTACTTGAATCAGTGGGATGAGTTGATCCATCATTCAGCTGTTGATTCAATGGTTCTACTCTAGTTGGGATGAATAATGCTCCTGTAGCAAGCGAGGTCTTGTACTTTGCTTTCTGTTGTTGTTGTTTAGTTGTTAAGTCATGTCTGACTCTTGGTGACCCCAAGGACTAGAGCACGCCAGGCCCTCCGGTCTTCCACTGCCTCCCAGAGTTGGGTCAAATTCATGTTGGTCGCTTTGATGACACTGTCCAACCATCTCGTCCTCTGTCATCCCCTTCTCCTCTTACCTTCACACTTTCCTAACATCAGCGTCTTTTCCAGAGAGTCTTCTCTTCTCATGAGATGGCCAAAGTCTTGGAGCCTCAGCTTCAGGATCTGTCCTTGCTCTCTGTATAGGATGCTTTTGCCCGGGGGGAAGTCTTCATTGGAAGCAAAGAAAACAGCTACAAGGTCTTAGAAGGTCTCCCGCCCTCCATCCAAGGGAATCACTGGCAGCACGGAATAACCATCGTGACGCCCGATCGGAAGTTTCTTTTTGCCTGCGAGACGGAGAGCGATCGGAAGGAGTGGATTGCAGCTTTCCAGCAAGTTATCAGCCGTCCGATGTTGCCACAGGAATATGCAGGTGAGAGTTGCGAAGCCAACCGTCTTGAGGAGGGATGATGGTTCGTTGGTGGACTTGGCAAATCAAGCCCCCGTCATCAGCTGCTAAAAAGGAATACCAGAGACCTGAAAGGAGAAACTCTAATTCTCCATTTATGGGATGGATTAGGGTCATTGTTAACTATTTCATGATCTGTAAGTGGTATTTGGTACTGCAGCTGCTCTGAGTCACATATTTCTGCCTCTCCCTCTGTAACTAGCTAGATGTATAGAATTACAGAATCATAAAATCATAGAACAATGGAGTTGGAAGGGCCCTACAAGGCCATCGAGTCCAACCCCTTGCTCAAGGCAGGGAGCCAAATCAAAGCGGATCTGACAGGTGGTTGCCCAATTTTCTCTTGAAAGTCTCCAGCGTTGGAGCGCTCACCACTTCCTCAGGTCCACTGTTGTACTGCTCTAACAGTTAAAAAGTTTTTTCTGATACTCATCTTAAATCTGTGGACAGTGATGCCTCGCTTGACGAGGATGATCCGTTCCAGCGAAATTGCTGTAGAGAAAAATCCTCGTCAAGCGAAATAAAAAAGCCCATTGAAATACATTGAAAACCGGTTCAATGCGTTCCAATGGGCGAAATACCTCAGCGTCCAGCAAAGATCCTCCATAGGGCGGCCATTTTCCGATGCCTGTGCAGCAAAAAATCTGTCCTGAACACAGTGGGGAGTCATTTTGAACAGCCGGCGGCCATTTTGAAACCCCGACGGTCAGCTGTTTTGATCGTCATAATGCAAAGAATCAGTTCCCAAAGCAGGGAACCAATCGTTGCAAAGTGGATTTTGCCCATTAAAACATTGTCGTGAAGCGGATGCGTCTCCAAGCGGGGTACTCATTAAGCGGGGCACCACCGTACCTTGAGCCCATTATTATGTGTCCGGTACTCTGGGATGATCGAGAACAGATCCTGCCCGTCCTCTGAAGGACTGCATTTCAAGTATTTGAAGAGTGCCATCCAATCTCCCCTCCGTCTTCTTTTCTGAAGGCTAAACATTGAACATGGTTAGTTCTTTCAGCCTTTCTGAACAGGCGTGTAATTTCCCCGTAAGCAGGCTAGCTTTTAATCCATACAGTAATAAAGGATTTCAACCATTATTTTAAGCATAACATAATTCCATTTTGTTTTGTCTTGCTTTCTCCCTCCCAGTGGAAGCCCATTTCAAACACAAGCCGTAGTGAAGTGGAATCCGGAACCTGGGAAGCGAGAATCTGTTTACAAGACACAAAAGACCTTGTTTGTTACCAGTGATGACATTTCAGTGAATCACATTGGACCGCAAGAGGGGAGGGAGGTGCTAACTACCGAGTCACTTGCCAAGGATTAAGGCCTCGCAATGCCAAAATAGACATTTTTAGAAGCGTTGAATTCCATCAGCCGGAGAAGCCTTGGGCTCTCTGGGACGGTCACCATGCCGGAGGGAGGGAGGGGGAAATGTTGCCTTTGAACAAGTTGATTCCGTGCCTTTTACTCCATCGTGTAAGGAATGTAATTTGGAGGCCAGGAGATTGAGACCTGTTCTCCTGCAAGATGAACCCCGGCTCCTTTTCTCCGTGTATTTGACTAACCGGTAAGGTGAGTGCTCTCTCTCTCTCTCTCATCCAGAAGTCATTTTCTCAACACTTCAACCATCTTCAGCGACCAAGACTACATTTTTAGAAGATGGCAGCCGTTCTCTGGACAGAATCTTGAAAACGCCCATGGAGGGAAGTCCTTGGTTCATTGTAGATCTTCACTCTGTTTGGCTCGACGAGAAGAAAGCAGTATGAGGCCGAAAGGGTGTCATGCATTGTGCTGAAGCTTCAGGAGAAGACCAGCTTCTTCTGGCTATCGTATCCCATGAGAGTTATCCATCAGTACCACTGTTTCCCTGACTATTAATGTCCATGCTTTTCACTTACTCGCCTCTGATCTTCTCATGGTGCCTCAAGAGCTGAGGGAGAAGGTCTGTGCCTCTAGGACGAATAGATGGCCTTCTTCGTGATGTTTGGGCATTAGGGACTGGTCAAAGAAGATGCCCAAGGGAGAGGTTTATGCTGAACTTTATTATAACCAAGGGTGGTTCTGGGTTAGGTTTAGGCAAACTCTGGCTGGCAAACCGAAGCACTCTTCCCATAAGTAGGAAAAGGGATCATCCTATGCTACAAGCAAGGCAGTGCCTTGCTCTGTAAATTTTGGGGAAAGTGAATGCATTTATACATCAGTCATGATCTCCCCGAATCCAGAATTGAGCTGCCCTGTTCACTAGCTGCCAAGGGTGAGAGCACAAGACTGGGAGCACAAGCAAGGTGCACGTTTATCCGTGGTCTCTTCCTGGTAGAACACGTTTCCTAAAAATCTGTCCATGCATTTCCATGTCATGTTATCACATTGCTATGAAGTCAGATTAGAGCGAAGAGCAGGGTTCCTGATCGTGCTCCGAACTTTGGCAAGTCAAAAATCAAAACCCGGGCTTGGCAAAGTGACCTTTCTGGAACGGATTTGGAGGGCTGCACTGCCAAAGGTCACAGGGTTGACACCCCCCCCGGGGCTTTCTGAGCAACAAGGACCCCTCCAGTTCTATCCAGGCTTTGCTGTGCCTCTAGGGGCAGCCCTCACAGTATCTAGGAGGGAAATTGACTTTCCCAGGAACAATAAATGGTTACAAGCGGTGCATGTTGTAATGCAAAGTATTTGAGGGCGGGTTGGTCTTGAATGAGCCATCGAGGGCCATTAACTTTATAAAAAGCCTGCCTGCTGATGGTTGGTAAGCACCAACCCAGTGGCCAGTAGGTCTGGACTCTCCTTATGGGACAAGGAGGCAAACCGGGGGGCGGGGGCTGTCGCAATGCACACCTCCACGTCCTGATTTGGAAGGTAATGATTCGTTGGTCTAGTGCTTCTTGTACACTGGACTGAATGGCAGTGCATTGGAATTTACCAGTAAACCAGACTATTCGCCATTTCTATAGGTGTTGGGAAAGTGAAGAGAGATCTTGCGTGTGTGGGGGGAAGGCACCCACAAGGTCTTGTGAGCAAAGCCAGGGCCATGACCCTTAAAGTTCTTTTTTGCGGCGTTAAATTGCAACATGGGAAGCCGTGTCATCCCAATAGCTCACTGTTCTGAGAAAACGGTGGGAAGTGAGTCACCAAATCACATATACGGAGAGGGGAATTTTCTAATAAGTTCACTTTCAGGAATAGAGGGACGCTTCCAAAAATGCATGTAGCCCATTGGACCGATGGCGGCTGAATTCTGAAGCCCTGATTTTTTTATTTTATGCATCCCCTTTATCTGTTGGTGCATTACTTCATGCTGCTAACTTGCTCGGCTTTCTAGGGTGAGCGCTGTGGAAATTGAGTCCACGGAGCGGGCCCGGGCCCTCCTAAGGTCCTCATCCAATGCTTGGAGCTCTCCGGAGGGTTACATCCCCTTTCCCATAACATCTGTGATGTGAGGACTTTCCTCTCAGGTCTAGGAGAGAAACAAATCTCAGGAGAAGAATCAGATCTGGGAAGTGCTTTGCCTCATTACTGTGGCATCTATGCCCTGGATACGCTGTCTAGGGAAGGTGTTTTTGAGCAGGGTGGAAAATTCACCAGTGGCCCATTGGGGAAATAATATGCCTTGGGAATGGGTGGAAATGGGTACATTGGAGTTTTAAAGCCATCTCATACAGTTTGGAAGACTCAGAGCTTCTCCCCTTTGCTCTGTGATGTCTCTCTCTGGACACCCCCCCCCGAGTCTTAAACTGGTGTCCTGAGATGTAATGACCGTTGCTGCTGACACTAAGTAAACCTGACAGGCCAAGCTATCACCAGCGATTTTCCTGTTGAGGGCATTGCTGCCCTGCTAGTTAGGCTTGGGCTAAGTGAGAGTAGCCAACAGGAGGAGTGGAGATAGAAAACGGGGAGGAAAACCCAGGGTTTGAGAACTCAACGGCCACATGTGTTCTGCACTAAACCTGTCTGTTTTGTGTATCCCTCTACCTGGGAGGGAACAGCTGGAGGTAGTCATGGGACTTCCAAATTTCTTGCACTGCAACCCCCAGAATTCACTTGAAATATGCACAGTGAACACTATTTGCCTCTGAAGAAGGAGATGACTGGGAGAGGCTACATTTTGGTGCCGCTGCAAGGGATTATAGCACTGGTAGTCTCTCTACCTATTAGGCTTTCTAAAAGGTACCTCTCAGAAAGGCTACCAGCGTTGTACAGTGGTGCCTCGCTTAACAGGCACCTGTTGTACAGTGGTGCCTCGCTTAAGGGGCACCTCGTTTAACGATGAAATCGCATAGCAATGAATATTTTGGAATCGCAAAAGCAATCACATTGCGATGTTCCAATGGGAAAAAAAAATCACTTTGCAATGACCGGTTCGCTGTTTCGCTTACTGGTTATCACATAGCGATGATTTTCCAACAGCTCCGGTTTGCTATTTCGCTTACCGATTATCACATAGCGATGATTTTCCAACAGCTGATCGGCGGTTCCAAAATGGCTGCCGGGTAAAAAAATGGCCGCCCGCTGTGTTTTTGTGCGGTTTCCTCGCTTACCGGGCAGCAAAAATGGCCGCCGTATGGAGGATTTTCACTTAAAGGTGAGTTTTAAGCCCATAGGAACGCATTAAATGGGTTTTAATGCATTCCTATGGGCTTTTTATTTTCGCATAGCGACGAAATCGCTTTGCAGCGATTTTTGCTGCACGGATTATCGTCGCTATGCGGGGTGCCACTGTAATCCCTTGCAGTTCCCCTGGAGCTTAGCCACTCCCAGTCATTTCTTTCTTCTTCAGAGGCAAATGGCGGTCATTCAAGAGGCTTATGGAGGCCCAATGTGTGTGAGTGATGGAAACTGCCTTTGTGGACTTAAGATTTAGTGGCCCCAACTCCCTGAATTCTGGCTGGGGGAATTTATGGTTAAATCTGGGCAGCTCACGGTGCCGTAAATCCAGATGTCCTATGCTTTGCTGGAGGAACATCTGTCCAGCCTTGCTTTTGTGTACCTCCTAAATTTTGGCACCTTGGATAAAAAACATCCGCTGCCCTGCCCTGTGCTGCCAAAGCCCATGGATCAAGGAAGAGACTCACCCCTCTATAAGTGGAATCCCACGGACCATAACATTAATGTATCTTGTTCATAAAAGTGACGCAGAACGCATCTGAAAGATGTTCAGAAGTAGCTTTGTCAAGAATGAGCCCTTCCCCTTGTCGGGAGCCAAGATACCTGATTCCTGGCCTTTCTCACTTAAAAAAAAAAGCACCCCTGGATAATAATGGTGATTCTGCTGTTGTAAAAGAGACCTGTCTTTGCAGCTAAAGGTGTGATCCGGCAGAGAAATGGCTCGTATATTGGACTGCTTGTGGCATGGCCCCGCGCAAACTGTTTTCTGGCGACCACACGACATCCAGGATAGGGCGAACGAACCTTCCTAACTCAACTCCATGCCTTCTACGGACCTTTTTGATCCAACAGTGGGGCTCTCTTTTTTAATTGAAGCTGGCCGGAGCGACTCCTGTGTGCACGGAAGGGTTGTGTTAAGGGAGATCTCTCCCAGAGAAACGACACTTTCCAGCTTGATTAGATCCTTTCTCACCAAAGGATCACACCCCTCTGTTTTTATCCCGCTCCCCCTCTCATCCCATTTGCTCTGTGGGCAGGATGGTTAAATATTCCTGCCTTATCCTTTTTCCAAGGCGCTCCTGTCCTTCTGGTGGCATCCGTACTAGACTTTCTATTTATACGAACGGATCCAGCAGGGTAGAAGTGTCACTAGCTTTTATTCTTCGCTGACTTCTGCTTGTAGGGTCATTTGTTGGTGCTCCGTATCCCAGCTCCTCCCGAATTATACGTCGCCTTGGTCCCTCTGCAGCCTCCATGTGTCATCTTCACCTGGACATTCCCACGTTATCTACCGAAATGACCTTTCCTGATTGATCCGTGATGGTACCAGGGTTGTAGCTAACAAATGCCCTCAGTTTTCCTTTTTCTTCAACAGGGCGGGCCACTTTAAAAGAGCGATGTTGTGAGTCAAAGAGAACACAGATGCTTTTTGTAGTCAAGGCCATGTTTGTAAGATCAATTCCCTCTTGTCTGTTGGACACATTTGTTAAGTCGCTGGTAAGCAAACTGTAGTACTAAGCATCTCTGCGCCAATAAATTATCATCCTGACAGCTCGGTGGGCGTGGCCTCTGGTCGTCATTGTGACACAATGTGATTTTGTGGTATGTATAGTGTAATGCGACTCAGTTCCATAAACATCCAAGAGTAGGAAATGATTTTTTAAAAAATAATAATGTAAAAATGAAAATGGGAAACATCCTTACGCCCCAGGCGATGTGCTTTCAAAATGGGAAGAAGGAGGATAAAGAGAGACCTTCTAGCTACTCATGCAGAGATGCAACGGACAACCTCCTTGAAGTACAACTCGTGCCTTGCCGGCAGAATGTCCCACCCTGAAACAGAGGGGGATGAAGAGATGGAAGATCCGGAAGATCATGCAGGAGTATACCAAGGCCCCCTCCTCGGAGAGGAACAAATGTTGGACTAAGCAGCCTTCCTGGGAAGAAGAATGAATAGGCGAGACAATCCCACGAGATCCTGCAGCTCCCTCCTGCCCAGTAACTCATGCAGAGACCCTTCTCCCTGGCCTGTCCTTTCCCGAGACAGTTGACTGAAAAGCCACAAGGCACAGCAGATCCTAGGAGGAAGAGCAGCCTTCGTGATGCTGCCTGCATTAGTGGGAGAGAAGTGGATTTCCTAGAAACCGTACTTGGTTGCAAGCTATAACGCAAAGGATTTGAGGGTGTTTTGGTCTCGAAGGGGCAATTAAGAGCCATTAACTTGACAAAAAGCCTGCTCCTTGGTTATGGGCCCATACCGATTCAGTTGCCTGCATTTTTGAGTCTCCTTGTGGCAATGGTTCCCTGCCAGAGGTTCTTGGACTTAAACTCCCAGGAGTCTTCGCCACTAGATGTGCTGGCCAGGATTTCTGGGAGTTGTAGTTCAAGAACATCTGGGGATTCAAGGTTAGGAACCTGTGCCTTGGGCGGTGCATGTGGTTATGGAGCCTGGAAACAATCTTTGCAAAAAGAGGTTACCTACACGTAACCATAGTTCTTCGAGCGGTCCTCTGTGAATGCACACAAACGGGTTGATCTTTGTTTCTGGGAGTTGTAGTTCAAGAACATCTAGGGATTCAAGGTTTAGGAACCTGTGCCTTGGGCGGTGCATGTGGTTATGGAGCCCGGAAACAATCCTTTGCAAAACGAGGTAACCTATACGTAACCATAGTTCTTCGAGCGGTCCTCTGTGAATGCACACAAACGGGTTGATCTTTGCCTGCGCTGGACGTCTTGAAAGATTCTAGAGCTAAAAGTAACAATTTAGTGGGAGGATCCCCCGTGGGGCACATGCGCCTCCCACCCAAGATTCCCCTCAGTTCCTTTTTTTCTGCTGCCCCGGTTACACTCCCACTTCTCTTTTTCCCAGCCTAAGAGCCGCGCTGAAGTGCACACAGCTCTCCTGCTTCAAAGACCTTTCAAGGGAAGGAGAATTTTAAAAAGCAAAGACTGCATTTAATCCCACTCTGTAGGTTTTCTCATAGTCCGGCCACGGTCTGCTGCAGAGCTGACCGTAGGACTTTTCTCGGGGCAAAAAAGCACACCGG